CACAACAAACCTCTGCTTCTTTGCAGCAAGCACAAATGCAGTTGGTTTTGCTCCCATGTTCCACATGGAAGACATGACTGAAAGTTCCTGATTTTGGGGAAGCCTTGAATTAGACTCCAGATGGGCTGTGATGGCTGAATGCAGATGTCTGACCAACGTGCAGTTTGTTTCCTTATTACAAAACAGGATTCTAAACCATCACATTCTAGAATCCTGGTTTGTAGGGAAGAAACAACCTCAACTTTCCCCAGGTGGCTGCATTTGCTTTCAAGTAAGCCTTCTAGGGAAGGGAGCACACAAGAGCAACAAGCAGATAGGAGTTCCCATTAAATCAGAATCATATTTCCTCTGCCTAGGGCATCAATCAAACTGTTAGGTTGGCACTTGGGACAATTATTATAATTGAATTTGTTGTGTACATACCTTTGTAGCAAAGATTTTCTCTGCAGCCTCCTCCAAAACTAGGTGGGCATGCTGAACATGGCCGTCCATGCTTGTATGGTGCGTGCCCCCACCAATTACCCCTAGAAAAAATTGTATTTACTATTTATTAAACAGGATGGCATAGTTTGTCTGTAGCTAATCAGGTTTGGGTGAATAAGAATGGGTAAAGCTGAAGGGTTTAAGAGCAGTGGGAAGTTTCACTTGCAGCTTCCAGAAAGTAACCTCAAATTTGATTCAGGTTCTGAATAGCTTCCTCATTAAATTTAACTTGATGCCTCACAGAATGTTGCCGTCTCTAAGTCTGCAGACATACCTTATACTGAGAGGGTTCCTATGGCAATCACCAATGAGAAATAATTATATCACTGTATTAAAATTAACACAGGAGGCTTCTGAACATAAGATATTGTCTCTAATGTCTCCAAGGCATTTGATGTCACATTGGAACCCAAGCCATAATCTGCTTCAGTATAAACACACATAAAACCGTTCCTGGGATAAACAATGCTTTAAAAATTTCCAATTTATCAAATACAAAGCTCCACAACTCAATAATTACCCAACAATGCTGCATTAAAGTCAATCAAGACTGTAGCTAAAAGACAGCCTTATTTAATTTATACAAGATTACTGTAATTTCAGGTAAAATGCTGCTAATTACGTTTCTTCTAATCATCCCTTATGAAATGAGCACATTATTTTCATAAACAGAGTTAGCAGATGTTGTTGGAATGTTGCAATTTTGTACTATAACTGATTTAGGGTGAAGTTCTCAGTCCTCAAAATGTGTTAATGCTACATTATATCAAACCTCCAATAGAAACAAAGCCGCATATTATAGAAACTCAAAACAGAAAATTCAGTATGATGCACTGTTTTCCCTTACTAAACAAAAGTGGTTATCAGGGTTCAACTACATGTGCAAATACATGTAAGATGACACCAATGCTTTTTTTAAAAAAAGAGGATGAAAGAAAAAGCAACTTAGGAATGGGAAATCAGGAGTGGAGAAGTTGGAGTGATATTTAACTTTTACATATTTATTACAGTACTCCATTGGGAGGGGGGTAATTTGGAATGGACACTCTGTGTCTTCTCTGTATTTCCAGTCCAGATCAAATCCTTCTGAAGTAGCTTTTCTTTTATAAAAGTGGCACTCGGGATCTGTTACATTTCTGTCTTTAATGTGTATTTAGATCTTTAGTCTGCTTTACATACTTACTTGGGAGAATAATTGCACACCAAGTAAATTGCTTTTGGCCATATCTGTCCCCAGACATTCATATTATGACACAAGTTAACAGCGCAGCCTATTCTGCTACTTGTTGCCCATACCACCTGGAGGGTAAAAATAAAACTAGTTAATTCACCCCTAGACAGGTGTTGAAAAAAATGTAATCAATAAAAAGGAAAACCCAACAATTATTTCATTTTCCTTTACACACACACACACACACACACACACACATGTAAACAAATTTACAGGCATAATACAATCACCCATAGAGAACTCAGCACAAGAATATATGCGGCATATTTGTAGCTGGTACAAGAGGATAGAACCCATTAATTTAAATAATATATAACTCTTCATTAGAATAAAATTATTTTAATCATGATAAAGACATAGCATTTTACTCCTAGAAGAAAGACATATTAAATTGATTTGTTAAAAATGACACTTTATAATTTAAATTGGATTATTAAATATATTTATTGTTACTATTAAAAATAACTTGGTTTAAGGTAAATATGAATTTAACAAATATGTTAAATTCCATAATATCACTGAAATTGACTTTCCATCTCATAGAAATATGCATCTTTTACACAGTAAATTACCTCGTGTTTTGAAAATGTTTTTTATACTTAGTCGATAATCCATTGCATAGTGGTTTGGATCCACCAGAGAATTTCTGAAGATGCACAATTGTCCACCCATGGAGTTTGATTCTCTTGCCTCCCAGAACAACCTCAAATATCCCAGAAAGGCTGCAGCACTGCAGGGGGTTGGGGGCTACAGAAGGGGGGGGGATGAGAAAGTCAAGTTCCAAGGGTGGAAGTCCTGCCCTAGAACTGCTTTAATTCATCCATGGAAAGGTTTTGATGAATCCAAGCCATTGTGTCCCTCATCTTCCAGTAAGTGCTCTTGTTTAGAGTCCTTGCGTAATTAAAGAGAGCTAAATTAAGATCTGTTAATTAAATAAGTATACTCTTTTGTTTTGAATAGATTGACAAGTCAAACAAATGTTGTGTGGCTCAGTAAATCTTAATAAGGGTTCAGAAATGTCTCTGTACACTAATAATTTTTATGACTTCCCCCTTTTGTATCAATTTTGTCTTGATTTCTTTATTATATAAATACTATGGAGCAAAGCCTGTTGTGGACGAAGACAACGAGCCCTAGAAAGGTAGGGTGGGTGGAAGAAGAAAGAAAGAAAGAAAGAAAGAAAGAAAGAAAGAAAGAAAGAAAGAAAGAAAGAAAGAAAGAAAGAAAGAAAGAAAGA